GAACCTAAAGCACCTGAACTTGTTCAGCTTTGCACTGCTGACCTGTGCTGGGGGAAGTCCTGATTCCACTGAGACCCCTGCAAGTCAAAGCTACCACAGCTTTCACCAAGCCTGGATTTCTCCCCAGAAGTTTATTTTCCTGATAGCATTTTCCACTGGCCCATTTCCCCTATTTCTAAATATATTTTCTCCTCTCAGTTACAACCTAGAACTCCATATGTAGCAAACCTTTTTGTAGTCCTTAGCAGAAGCACAAAGCTGAGGGTGTCTGTCTACCAAAAATCAGGTCAGTAATTTTCTGCAATTTTCTCCCCATGTAATGGCCATCCAAGAAAACCTTCCAAATTCCAGTTCCACTAAGTACCAATCCTCACCATGAAGGCAGTTACATTTCATGCATAAAAATTATATATCCAGCATAACTATAATAAATGGGCATGTTGTATATCTGATATAATGCTAATTAGATACTGTATATTTGTAAAATCTTTAAAATGTACACTCGTGGGTCCAGAATTTGTGAGGGTTTTATCTTTGGCATTCTAGTCAGATTGGGCTTTGCTCTGGTTTTTGTTGGGTTTGGGTTTTTGTTTTGTTTTGTTTTGTTTTTTCTTTTTTTCCTTGTACTGAAGTTCCTATCAAATTCTGTAGAACTAACTCACACTAGAACATGCTTCTGTGGCCAGGAAAGGGTCTCAGTGGTTTTGAAGGCCAGACAGACCCAGTGCTGTAACTATTATAGTCCATGGTGTGCACTGAAAGCCCCACCACATGCACACATCCACGCTGCCAATCCAAACAGCAGTCATGTTCCTTCCTCCCCGTGAAATGGAGACTGACTTCAGGCTGTAAACACATCCCCATACAGTACTTCTTTCTTCATTCCCTACATTCCCACACTGGGTCTTTTCCTACATGGCTCTTCACTAAATTTCATTTAAATTAGCTCTGCCCTTCTCCCTCACCTCAAATACCTCCCACCTCCTGGCCTTAATGATGTTCCCAGCTCAATACACGGATCCTGTAGCATACAATGGGTGTAGGTAGTTGTGATCTTGAGTCTTGTGTAAAGGCTTATGATGCAGCACCAGGTTTTTCTGGTGCAGGGTAGGCAGGAGGTGCATGCTGTCTTCCCTTGGTAGGATTTAGAGGCAGGCCTCTGTGGGGTGACCGTGTGGCCTTTCTCTTTCCCAGACTCTCCTGGGGCTGCTGGTCCTAGTTCATGAGCTTTCTTCTGCTCCACCTAATGGAGACTTCAGAAAGGACTCCATCTGTAAGATGTGCTGGGGCTTTATTTGACAGAAACTGAGCTGGGAAGGAATAAAAAAGAGTCTCCACAGTTCAGATGTTCATTACTGTGCAGCATTGGGCAACATTCTGGGCAAAAACAAGAATTGTCTTTGGTCAGGGTGGCAGATCATGACATGGAAGGGACGAGAGAGAAAAGTCTCACACCTCATCTCCTGATCCCTTCCCTTGATGGACACCTCTCCCCTGACTACCTCCAAGCTCCTCAGCTCAGTCACTGGATATTTCTTCACAGCAGGCAATCCCTGTGAAACCTTTGCCCTTGCTGACCTTCCCACAGACCAAAGTTTGTGACTCTTGTGAAGAGAAGAGAAACTCATATGGCTGATGGGGGGGCAGTCCCTGCTGAGGTTCTGGGGCTCTTCCATTCTCTCTTGGCTGCAGCAAAGCCAGGATCTTCCCCTCTGCAAGCAGGAAGATGTGAACACTGTGGGAGAGTAGAGTCCACCCTAAAGTCTCCAGGAGTTGAGGTGGCAGAGCCAAAGGAGCAGAGGTAACCATGTGAGGCCACGGGTAGGTGAATATTCCTCTCTTTCCATTTCCATGGCTGTATGTCTCAAGCTCTACTCTTCGTCTAAATGTTCCATTTGTGAACTAAGAAGCTGCTGGACCAGATGCAAATATTGAAATTTCTCACTCAAGTAGCCTGTGCAGATGCTGTGCTGTGCTCCAGGCCATTTGACCTCAGAGCCTTCTTTATTCTGACTGACAAATATCACAGTCCCTCTGCTAACTTGTCCTACCTGGGCAATAATCTTCCAAAGAAATCTTAGCCCCATTTCCTCATCTTTTCCACCCACTCAACTGTTTCAAGCAGATGTGTCCCACAAGAATCATCAAAAAGCCTCCTTAGGCCAAATCTCTTCAGGGACACTGCAACCACCACAGAAAATTTGCAGCAAATGTCTTTGGGAAGGCACCATACCCTGGATGACCACAGTTTCTGCCTGGGCACCATGTGTTCCTGTGGCTTGCTTCATATGATGGAATGGGTTGGTAGCTGAAGCAGTAACGTTTCAGCACACACAGGTGTTCTGACATGATTTTTTCCCTTATTCCTCATGCTGAGAGTTTGTCACTGAATGGACACTTGGTCCAGGTCTGGGTGTCATGATCTACAGCCTGGTCCCCAGCACTTCTGTTGCCCGTGGTCAATGTGATGATAGTGGCAACACTTTCCTATTCCGCAGAGGCATTATGAAGGTTCATACCATGATGTCTATGAAGTGCTTTGAGATCCTTTCACAACAGACACTGTAGACTAGCAAAGCATTTTTATTAATATTGTTTGTCACCATTGTCCTTGCCACATCATGTCTGATGTGTTGCAATGCAGTGTCTGTCTAGACTGGGAGTACTGGGGTTGGGGGATACAGTTCCCCAGATTTCCCATTGCTCTCTTTCTGGATATATGGTCCTTAGTAGGCAGCAGCTCTAAGGGATGCTGGTACCTGCACTTCGACCTTTCTGCTTTCTTCTCCTCATGTCTGAGTCATCATAACATTCTGCACTCAGGAGAAAAGCAGGAAGCAGTCACATTCCTCTGTACAGTAAAAAAAATAATCTGCCTTGAATAATCTAATATACTCTGAAGAATTGGTCTATCTTTTTCTCCAACCCACAGGTGGAAACACACATCTGTGGAGCGTCCAGTTCCCAGAGTGCATGTGCAGGGACTGGGGGAGGGTGATGTAGAAAAGTTTCTATTATTTCCTGCAAACTGATAATTATTTGCATTCCCCAAGCAGCAGCACACAACAGTGAGCTGCACTGGATTTTATACAACGGTGTCATTAAGAGGTATGTGTATGTATATACACAGAAACACGTACATATACATACGTACTGTCAAATGCAACCATTGAGTCTGACTGACCCTATCCCAATCTAAGCTTCCAAACTATATTGAATCACTCTCTAAAATGTGGAAAACTATTTTTAATGAACTACACAGATCACCACATGGAATGGAAATTTTCTCATAAAAAGTCTTCTAATGCCAGTGAATTGTGTTTTAAGGAAAAAATGAAATATTTTTCAATGTTTTAATGTTCCTTTTATAAATGATGATCTGTTACTTGGGATAAGGGTGGGTGGGAAGAAACAGGGACAATTACTTGGGAGTAAGTACTCCTTTCCTGGCCTAGATTTGATTTCTGTCTACTGTTATACTAGTCTGGCTGGCTGCAAAGCTGGTCCCATGAACCTGGGCTTCCCGCATGCATATTTCTGTTCTTATGTCTATCAATCAGAAGCATTCTCACCAGGAATCTGCAAGAGCCTGGCATCAAGTTTTTGTAAGAGATGGGTAGTTCCTGGTAGTTTGTGAGATGTCTTCATCTTCTTTCATGACAAACAAAATCATCATGAAACAGGGTAACTTTAGTTGTATTTGAAGCGTGTTCTAATTTCTGATCAATTTGCCCTCTTCAATTCACGTGATGGAGAAGTAGCTTGTCTTAGTTTTGTTTCAGATTTAGTGCTTAATCTGGAAGGAAGGACTCTGCTGAAATATATTTAACACATAGAGATTTCATGTTCAAGTGTATTTCAGATGAGTGAAAAGTTAGTAGGGGAAATATGTGAGAAAGGGGCTTAAATATTTTTATAAAAAGTGTTGTCAGCAATAAGCCTGTGTTGGGGCTGCTTCTTAGAGAACAGTCACTTCTGTGTTGTATGTCTGTAAGTGGATGGTAGAAGGTATTGTCCCCAGCCTCTCTTAGCTGGTTCATGGCTGTCAAGGAGGTGCCCTCACAGAGCCCAAAACCCAGCTGGGAAAACCTACACTTCACCCACTGGCAGCCCAGGGGCAAGGGAAGAGTTGGACGATCCTGTTTGAG